TATTAAATTAAAAAAAATGGTAAGAGGCTAATGAAAAAATAAATTAATACTTAAAATTATTAGAGAAGCTATAATCATTTGCAAAATTTTTTAAAGTATTGACAAATTATTTTATATAATTAAGGTATTTCTTTAATTGAAATGAATCAACCTGGAAAAGGAATTATAAAGATAAAATAAGCCAAGAAGATTAACAGTAACTTGTATAGAGATTTATTGGATTATTCAGATTTAGAACTTAGATAAAATCCAAATAATGAATTTATTTTAATTGCAAAAAGTTCATATATTCAATTATTTCTATAGGCTATGCATTAGATGAAGAAAAGAAATATCAATTAGCCATTGATGAATGCGAAAAGCTGTTGATAGAATAATCTTAATATCTCCATGCATTGTATAGAAAAAGTACTCACTTATTTTTTAAATAGGTTTTTCGTTATAAAATTTGAATGAACATTCACAAGCGATTTAATGCATTGATAAAGCTTTAAATTATGATTCGAATTATATTGTTGGATATAGCACAAAGGGTAATTTATTAGTTTATGATTGCAATAGGTTATTCATTAGATGATCTTGGAAAATATAATGAAGCCATAGTTTAATATGATAAGGCAATCGAATTAGATCCTAATAATACAAATGCTTATAATAATAAGGGTTAATAATTATGTTATTGTATTAGGTCGTTCATTACTTAATCTTCAAAAATATAATGAAGCAATAATTTGTTTTGATAAGGCAATCGAACTGGATCCTGATTGTGAAATTGCTTATAATAATAAGGGTTAATAATTATTTTATTGTAATAGGGTATTCATTAAGTATTCTTGAAATATATAATGAAGCAATAGTTCAATATGACAAGGCAATCGAACTGGATCCTAATGATGCAATCACTTATAATAATAAGGGTTAATAATTATGTTATTGTAATAGGTCGTTCATTACATAATCTTCAAAAATATAATGAAGCTATAGTTTGTTATGATAAGGCGATCAAACTGGATCCTAATGATGCAAATGCTTATGATAATAAGGGTTAATAATTATGTTATTGTAATAGGTCGTTCATTACGTAATCTTCAAAAATATAATGAAGCAATAGTTTGTTATGATAAGGCTATCGAACTAAATCCTAATTATGGGATTGCTTATAATAATAAGGGTTAATAATTATGTTATTGGAATAGGTCGTTCATTACATAATCTTCAAAAATATAATGAAGCAATAGTTTGTTATGATAAGGCGATCAAACTGGATCCTAATGATGCAAATGCTTATGATAATAAGGGTTAATAATTATGTTATTGTAATAGGTCGTTCATTACATAATCTTCAAAAATATAATGAAGCTATAGATTGTTATGATAAGGTTATCGAACTGGATCCTAATAATGCAATTGCTTATAATAATAAGGGTTAATAATTATGTTATTGTAATAGGTCGTTCATTACGTAATCTTCAAAAATATAATGAATTTGTTTATCATTAATATCAAAATTAGAATTTGTAATCGCTTCATTAATTATTTCATCATATTCGATATCGGTGGGTAGCTAATTATTATTAAAAATATATCTGGTTAATTCTGATTCTGTTTTATAAAATTATTATTATGACACATTATTGTTATTTTAGGGGGTTGTTAATTATTTTAAATTTTATTGGAATCTGAGTTTGAATTCTTTTTAAATTTTCCACCTTCTTTAGATAAAATACCTAATATCTTCTAGATGTACTTAATCTGTTCTAGTAAATTGATCTGTTCTCTAAAGTTGATATCTTGGTCAATTATTATTGGCTCACCTCTCAGTATTCTCATTCCAATAACTGAAGTATCAACTTTTATTCCTTTAACAGCCAACATGGACTAAATAACTATAAGTCTTTAATCTATAGGCTTGACATTTTTTTGTTATCTGGTATTTGACTCACATTATGATTTCCAATTAGAGTCTTCAAGTCCAAAGGATTAGCGGAAGAACTCGAAATTGAGTAACTCATTTTCCCTGATGAGATCAATCAGGGGGAGATAACTATTAGTTAGCTGGTAGGCAAGCAATCCTAAATAGATTTCTATCCTCTTGAGACACTAGAATCCCTGCTATTTCCATTACTCCTATAAGGAGAAGAAACTTGATTAATTCTTTTAATTAAAAAAATTTTATTGATTAAATTTAGAAGTTTTTGTTCTATTCAACCTTGAGGAAAACTCTAGGGAGATGTCTTCATTTTAGTTAATATTTTTTTTCCCATTTAATAAATTGAAAAAATAATTTTATTAAAGATTGATAGATATTAATTAAAATAGCAGTATATTATATAAAAATATTATTTATAAAAATTAATAAGTATTGAATAATTTAATAATAAAATTTAATAATTGAAATGATGTTTATTAATGAGTTTTAAGTCGATTTAACTTTAGTAGTTCTTATTAAACATTTAATAAGATAATTCTGATTTATTCAATGAAATAAAAATGTATTTAATCAAATATAATTCACAAATATAAAATAAAATTTATTTTAATGAAATAATAGAATTTGTTTACTTGTTAAGATATTGCACATGAAGGAGAAGTTATATAAGGATTTGTTTAAATTTGGGATGCTAAGATTCAAGATCTTAGTTTTGTCTTTAATGTGGATTTGATCCTAAGAAACATACTAATTGCAAGAAAGATCTAAAAGGATTTGGCTAAATTTAGAGTTTTCTCACTAAATTCAATTAAAATATACTTGATTTGACTATCTAATTAAATAAATCCTATTCATCAGTCAAAACAAAATATGAAGAATTAACAAAATAATTGCATAATCTGAAAATATAATTACTTAAGATATCTGAAGGTTTAAGTTAATAAGATTATAAATAAATCAAAGATAATTTGCAAATTATTAAGGAATGGTATCAATATTCAAACAATCAAGAGGAGATCATGAAGTAGAATTAAATTGGTATTTTTCTATTAGTAATATTTATAGGAACTTAACTATTTAATATAAAAAGTATGATATAAACTTTGGATTAAGACAACAAATAAAAATAATAAATTAAAGGTATTTATCAAAATAATGAAATAACACTCGAATAAGGTATTCAATTTGTTTTAAATTTAATTAGGAATAGAATTATTAAATTAAAAAAAATGGTAAGAGGCTAATGAAAAAATAAATTAATACTTAAAATTATTAGAGAAACATTAAACAATTGCCACATTTTTTAAAGGTAATTACAAATTATTTATAATATTAAGGTATTTCTTTAATTGAAATGAATCAACCTGGAAAAGGAATTATAAAAATAAAATAAGCCAAAAAGATTAATAGTAACTTATATAGAGATTTATTGGATTATTCAGATTTAGAACTTAAGTAAAATCCAAATAATAAATTTATTTTAATTGCAAAAAGTTCATATATTCAATTATTTCTATAGGTTATGCGTTAGATGAAGAAAAGAAATATCAATTAGCTATTGAAGAATGCGAAAAGGTTTTGATAGAAGAACCTTTATTTCTCCATGCATTGTATAGAAAAAGTACTCATTTCTTTTTTAAATAGGCTTTTCGTTATCAAATTTGAATGAACATTCACAAGCACTTTTATGCATTGATAAAGCTTTAAATTATGATTCAAAGTATATTGTTGGATATTGCACAAAGGGTAATTTATTAGTTTATGATTGTAATAGGTTATTCATTAAATGATCTTGGAAAATATAATAAAGCATTAGTTTGTTATGATAAGGCAATCGAACTGGATCCTAATGATGCAATTGCTTATAATAATAAGGGTTAATAATTATGTTATTGTAATAGGTCGTTCATTACATAATCTTCAAAAATATAATGAAGCTATAGTTTGTTATGATAAGGCGATCAAACTGGATCCTAATGATGCAAATGCTTATGATAATAAGGGTTAATAATTATGTTATTGTAATAGGTCGTTCATTACATAATCTTCAAAAATATAATGAAGCTATAGTTTGTTATGATAAGGCGATCAAACTGGATCCTAATGATGCAAATGCTTATGATAATAAGGGTTAATAATTATGTTATTGTAATAGGTCGTTCATTACATAATCTTCAAAAATATAATGAAGCTATAGTTTGTTATGATAAGGCGATCAAACTGGATCCTAATGATGCAAATGCTTATGATAATAAGGGTTAATAATTATGTTATTGTAATAGGTCGTTCATTACATAATCTTCAAAAATATAATGAAGCTATAGTTTGTTATGATAAGGCGATCAAACTGGATCCTAATGATGCAAATGCTTATGATAATAAGGGTTAATAATTATGTTATTGTAATAGGTCGTTCATTACATAATCTTCAAAAATATAATGAAGCTATAGTTTGTTATGATAAGGCGATCAAACTGGATCCTAATGATGCAAATGCTTATGATAATAAGGGTTAATAATTATGTTATTGTAATAGGTCGTTCATTACATAATCTTCAAAAATATAATGAAGCTATAGTTTGTTATGATAAGGCGATCAAACTGGATCCTAATGATGCAAATGCTTATGATAATAAGGGTTAATAATTATGTTATTGTAATAGGTCGTTCATTACATAATCTTCAAAAATATAATGAAGCTATAGATTGTTATGATAAGGTTATCGAACTGGATCCTAATAATGCAATTGCTTATAATAATAAGGGTTAATAATTATGTTATTGTAATAGGTCGTTCATTACGTAATCTTCAAAAATATAATGAAGCAATAATTTGTTTTGATAAGGCAATCGAACTGGATCCTAATTGTGCAATTGGTTATGATAATAAGGGTTAATAATTAGTTTATTTAATAGGTTCTTTACTATCTGATATGAAGAAGTATTAATAAGCCATAGAGAATTATGAACAAGCACTTTTGTATTGCAAACAAGGCCAAAATAAATTTAAAAAATTAATTATAGAATTAGGAAATTAACAATGAATATTAATAAAATATAATTCATAAAATATTTATATGAGTTATTTTATCTTCATTTTTAAGTTACTTTAATTTTGAGACTATTTTTATTATAGTAGAATGGCTTTCTTTTTAAGAAATATGCTGACAAGGCTTCGATCACCTCTTTATCTATTTTCTCCTACATCCACAAATTAAAGGATAAAAATAATAGTTATAATTGATATGTATATCAGATCATTAAATTTAAATTGGTATCTTATTCATAATGTTTTATTATTTATGGTACTAATGTTTTACATCCTTATTGAACGATACTAAAGGCTCACTAGAGAAGAATCTATATATATTGCAATAGTTGAGGAGAGAAATATTTTCATATTTCAGTCCCTATCTTTACACAAGGTATTTTTCATTAAAGCCCATTGCCTAATACTTACACCTCTGATTAGTGAAGTATTTGATAAAATAAACTATGGGGGAGTTATTAAAAACAGCAAATATCCTATAATAATTTTAATCCCAGAAGAATTAAAAATATGGAATGGATTTCTAATTAAACCTTCAAGAGTATAATAATTCAAAATCTGACCATAATATAGAATTCAAGTTTAGAAGCATCTTACAGTTCCCCATCAAAAGGAATACTTGTTCACCATCTTACATATACCAACTCCAAATTCATCTAGAACTAAATCCTAAACCTCCGTCCACTAAGGGGCGACTTTAGATGATTACCTACTAATTTGGGCATCTATAACTCTATTTTGTAGATTTGAAATAAGTCTCCAGAGGATCAATTTTTATGTAAAAGAGACAACGAACACATCCTGTTTTTATCCACCTCAGTAGTACTAAAAGAAAAAAAAAATTCTAATTTTTCACCAATCAGATTATTTTACTAGTAAAATGTAAAAAAATCTTCCAATTTTATATACCCTCCTATTTTGATATCTTTAATTCCTTTTATCATCTGAATCGCTACTAATATAATTTTGGTTTTATTATATTTAGATTTAAGTTTATTCTTCTCGCTATCCTAAAAAAACATATCTATCTACCAGTTTTTTTTACATTTTTGTACTTATCTTAATCAATCAATAAAATTCTTCTTCAATCCATTATTCAATCTTAATATTATAACTTTTACATCATATGATCTGTCATATTAAAATATTGATAATTTATTCATTTACATCCTTTTTTTTCTAATCGAAATACAAAATATCCCTTTTACTAACCTTCTACCAGTATTTATATTCGTCATTTTAATTAATTTAAATAGCATTCTAATAGCCATCATAAAATTCAATCAATTTTTCAATTATCATGCCCAATCTACTCTTATTGTTTTATCCAACAACTTTCATCAATAATATCCCAAATAATTGTACATGCCTCCCTCAACTTATTCAGCCTACTATAATTAAATTTTATAACCATTAACTCAATAGTCTTCAAACTCTAAATATTAGATTCTTTTCAAGATTATTTAATACGTATTAATTTTTAATCCAAATCTTTCATATAAAAGAGATGTGATATTAATTGATTTTACATTTTAGATCGAGTTGAAGTATTGTTAATTCTCAGAAATCCATACTTGTTATTCATAAAATGAAATAGACCTATTTTAAGAAAAGGCATATTGAAAATGGAAGTTTGATATTATTTGCTTTAATTTCATTATAATAAATTGATTAAAAAATCTTTCAAAGAAAAGAGTTGCCAATTAAATTGTAATAACAATAAGAATAATTTTGTTTTTTTTGTATAAACCAATTAGTTATTTAAAGTAAATAAATAAAATTTTTTGATTAAAATAGAGTCCAATTTAATAAGATAGCAAATTAATTAATAGAGAACAGAAACTTAATTAAAATAAAATTAATAATAAGGAAAATGAATCCCCATCTTTTTTAGAATAATTAATATCACATATGCCTGATATATTCAAATTCACTAATTAGGACTGCTTTAAGACACTAGTTCAAGAATATTCACAATTTTAATTTTTGTTTACGTATTTCATTGTAAAGACTAAACATCTGCATATACAAAGAATGAATGTAGATATGAAGATTATGAAATCTTAATTTTATTAAATTTTGCTGATAAAAATGATAATGGCTTATGTTTAGATATATAAACATTGCTTAAGAAGAAGCAACATTGTTTTAATAGATATTGATGTTAGCCAGTCATGAACCCTTTATTATTATTAGCATATTATTTATAGAACGTATGGATGACAAAGAAGCTATTCTAAAGAATAATATAATTTGATGTTTATAATGATTATGATGTTTATGATAAATATGAACATACTTTTAGAAAAAGATGAAGATTACTTTTATTTAATATATCACTCTTCCTAAAAAAAGCAATTAAACTAGAACAAGACCCTTATGATTGGAAATTAATAAAAATTATATCTTAGTAATTTTTCCCATGTAATACTGTAGTATATGGATGTCTTACTCAATAAAAGTTGATATATATAATTTGATCATTCTATATTAATTAGAGATTTGTGTAAAAGTAATTTTGCATTTTCTTTAGCTCCAGATTACATATAAAATTAAAATATATATATGTTATTTAATTAAAGAATTTGATTAAATTATTTGAATTCTCAAAGGTAATAAGATTTTTAATATAAAAGATAGACAATATTCTAATTTTGATTGCCTTTAATGATAATCAGTTTGATGATTTAATTTGAAATATAAATATATATTAATAATAAAATATTAAGAATATTGAATAACTATAATTTAGGGGATTGAAAAACTCAAAATAAAATAAAGATTTAGAGTTGATCTATGATCTATGATTTTATTATAATTATTTTGTAAAAAGCAAATAAATAATTACATTATTATTAACAATTAAATTTTTTATCTTTACTATAGGTAAATAATTTAGCCTAAGGATATTATGTAAATATGATCAGATTTGGAATGTGGTTTTACAAGATAATATTTCTAATTATAAGGATTACAATTTTCTCTCTACACATGCTATGAATATACTCAATCAAGCATAGAAT